TATATATATATATATATATGTAATATAATATATATATACAATATATATATATATAAAGAAAAGAAGGAAAATAAAATAAAAAATAAAAAATAAAAAAAAATTGAAAAAGACTTGTTTACAAATAAATCAGTAATCTTTTATAACATTATCATCATTTTTTGAATCTATCAAAAAAATTTAGTTAGTTCAAAAAGTTCAGTTAAATTAAAACAATAATTCCTTTCTCCTCCTTTTCCTTTCCAATAACTTCATAAACACATAAAAATTTGTCAAGTAAAAAACCTTTTTTGCTTTTTTGGATTTTTTTTTGGCTTTTTTGGCTTGATTGGATACGTTGTCACTTCTCCTCGGGTGTGACGAAATACGAAATACATATAAGGTGACATTACAAATGGTTTAATCACGTTGACGTTATTAATCATTTAGTGATGATGGTACCAATCAGTAGTGATCACTCATTGATTCTCAATCAGTATTAAATGTCTATTTTATTTTTTTGTTTACTATATTCTATATAAATAAATCTGTATTTTAAATATTCTGAAATTCTTAAATTCTAATTAAAGTAAACTTTAAAGTATTGATTGTCAACTTACATATTGCATTATAATAGATGAATACATTATAGTTATTTTATATTATTCATATTATTTAATTCTAATTTTTCAAAAAGTATTAGATAATAAAAAATAAAAATTCTCCACACGATATTATATATTATTAAGCATAATCCGGTTTTTGATCCTCAAAAAAAAAGTTTTTTTTTATTTTTTTCCTTTTAGGAGAGATGTCGAGGAGATGTCAAAAAAGTAAAAGTTTTTAAATATATTTTTCATTTTTTCATTTTTTTTTTTTTTTTTTTTTTTTTTTTTTTTATTTTTTGTTGCTTTTCTTGTTTTTTATTTTTTTTTTTTTAATTTTTTCGAATTAATGGATCTTCATAATGATGATATTGTTAATTTAAATCCGCCACAAATAAACCCCTCTCAAAAGTCGATCAATTTAACCTTACACTTGTTCTCTCATTTAACGTTTAACCACATTTTATTACTTTATTACCATCTTTTTTTAATCTATTTAAAATCTATTTAAAAAAAATTTTTTTATTCTAACAAATACTTTTTTAACTTTCCTCACCTCTCACCTTAAAAAGAAAAAGATTTTTTTTTCTGAATTGGATCATATATATCTTGTATTACGTAATCGGATCCATTTAAAGTCGGATTCTGTTACTCAAAAATATTTTTTTGGAATATTTAAAACGTAAAAAGGAAAAGAAAAAGAAACCAAAAAAAATCATTACAATAATGTCATAAATTTCATTCTATTGTTTATAAATATGTTATATGTACGCTAAATTTTTTACTCTATCGTAAAAGGTTCTTCTTTATCATAACGCGCATACATATACTTCTTTACATATTTTATTGTTTTAATAAAATAAATAAAAAATATAAAAAAAAAAAA